AGAAATGTGACCTTTTGAAAACTAGATTGTTAATGGGACCTGCCCAGTTTTAGTGTGGGAGGGACAGGCATGCTGGAGGCTGTCCAGAGGCATAATATGTTGTGTGTTTTGGGGGGGAGAAAAAGCTAGTGAAGAGGGCTGTACAGGTGAAGTAATTGCTTTCGACTTTCGGTGTATATAGGCTGGGAAGTACACAGGTAATAAACGCTGTCCAGCCAGGTGAAACTCAGGCTGATCTTTGAAACTGAGTGTATGTGAGGTGTTCAGGATGTGTTTTCCTCAATACAAAGAACAACGAACGACTCTGTGGAAGGAGCAAGATGCTAGAAAGTGAGATGTAATTCCAAACGGTGGTCCTGCCATTGTGAAAGACTCCAGAATCTCTTCTGAGAGAAGACAGCAATTGGGAGCAGTACGTGCTACTGGTCACAAGAAGGTGAACTTCTGTGACTTATTAGACTCCATCACGGACAAAACTCTGTGCCATGCATAAGGACAGGTTTTCCATATGTCCCTGTTCCCCCAGGAAAAGCTGCTGGAGCCACCTGCAAATAACTAAGGAATGTGAGCAAGAAGTTTTGAGTTGGTGACAAGATGAGCACTGCTGCTTGTCCATGCATTCAGGACTGCTGTTACTGCAAGTCCTTCAGCTTTGTGCCTTGTGTATTCACAACACTTCTGTTCCACCCCTTTTCTCAGCAACTGCTAATCTCAGTTTCTTTCAGCATAGATGAGATTTGAATTACATTGAACTGAACTCACACCTGCCACTTCTTTGTTAAATTTGCTTCTGAGCAGTCAAAAATGATTATAGGTGTAGGCAAAAGCAAGAGGCAAGTGTGTGTGTCCGTGCTGGAACTGAAATAGTTGTTTCCTGGTCATTCTGAGGTTTTGTTTTCCCTTAGTGCGGCAAAAAGTTGTGTTGTGGTATCTGGCACCTTGCTCTGGAAAACTCCAGAAAAGCTTATTTTTACAAGTACCATTTTTTTCTCTATTTTGTTTGTTAAAATTATCTAATTCTACACATCTTAGCTACAGCGGCCAATAAAACTGCATTGATTTGCTATTACCTGTGCAACTTGCTTTCTTGGAAGTTTGGCTTGACTTACTGGAGTCCTGTCAAATGCTAGATGTCAAGCCTGCTTAACTTTGGTGCTAAATCCATAAATGTCATTGAGATTCAGCAACTAGCTTGAGCAGCAGCTCCACAGCAATACCCAATCTGGGCTTTTCTCCTTAGCTTGGGAGCATGGGGCCGTGTAGTCTTGCTGGGGGAGCGTGGACACTGCTTATCTGGAGCAACTCAGTCTTACCAAGTGAACTTTGCAGGTCTGCACACTTTCTCTGCTTTTGTAGTCGTTGATTGTTTGATGTCTTCATTCCAAATTGACCATTTAAAAGAATGCTGGGGTGAGTCAGGGCTGGACCCAGGCCGCGGGCAGGAATGGGCCGTGTTTTGCACTTGTGTGAAGGGATGGTGGCTCTTGAGCTCCCCTTCACTAAAGGACGGCGGTACTTTTTGCTGTTCTCCATCCTTCAGCACAGCTCAGCTGAGACTTTCTGCTAAAACCCCGGCCCTTTCCCAGATCCACACCTCTCACCACATCTGTGCAGGACTGCTCCGTTCTGCCTCCCCATCTCAGGATCCCCGTGTCAGGGCTCTCCAGGCAGTCCCCTGTGCCGGCGTGCGACAGCCACGTGCAGCAGGTGTGCCTTTGGCTGCCTGCCCAACAAGCGCACGGCGGCTCATTACTGCCTTCCTTTGAGCCTCCGTGGCTGCCGATTGATCTTGGAGTAAATGCTGGCTTTGTTCCTCGCACGCTGGCAGCACTTTGCACTACTGCTGTGCCAGCTGTGAATAGCGGGTTGCTCACTGGGCGTATCGAGGTATTGAGAAGCAGGGCTCACCTGGAGGTTCCCAGCACTGAGGCTATTCTGTTCGCGAGGACGTTTCTCCTGTGCAGGGATAACATGAGAAGCTGTGAGCAGGAGCCCCAGCAGCTGGAATGATTCATAAATGTAACTTAAGGGAAAGACACGAGGCAGCAATGCTGCCTGCCTGCCTCAGTGCTCAGCATGCAAAGATCCCGGTGTTCAGACTGCCAGCCTGCCTGGGCCACCTTGAGGATGGGAAAAAGATGTTTTAGCAGCAGAGCGGAGGCTGTTTTAAAGCTTCTAGATAGGTGGGAGTAGCTCGGGATTCTGTGTGCAGAAATGACAGTACAAAGTACATTGCTATTATTTTGGAACCTCAGACCTTAAAAAGAAGGGGCTGCTTTGGCTCACCATGCCTGACTTGCCAAAGGCTGACTTTGAAAAACAACAAAGAATTCAAGTGAAGTCTCACCAGTAATTTTCCCGTTCCTTCCTCTTCCCTAAGATTACTTTTTAAAGGGACCTTCCTCCAGCAGAAGTGCCAAGGGTACAGCTGCCCCAAGCTTTTTTCAGGGCTCTTTCTGTTTTCTATGAGCCTGATCCTGCCCTCTAGGAGCATCCAGCAGTAGGTGAGGTGCAGGTCGGAGCTCCGCTTGGGCACTCGCCCGGCTTTCCTCCTGGCAGCCCCAGCAGAGCAGCCTGGAAGCACCACTTCCCCAGCTATTTTGGAGAGGTGCAGGATTAACCCCAGGTACGGCGGGGGTGTTATTTATGTAGTGCATCCCTCCACAGGAGGGAGACAAACAACAGATTTTCATAAATTTCCCTGTTTCTGTATTTAAGGGGTACTTTGTTGGGTTTGTTTTTTTTTCAGTAGATGTTCTCCTCAAGTTGTTGAACTTGGAAAACATCCCATGGTTGGATACTGAGCACGGGCTGCCCAACACATCACCTGGATGCTGAGAAGAGGGCAGGGATAGTCAGCTCACGAGCTGAGACTTGCCACAAATGGGGAGGTAGAGTTTGTTTTTTGTAGGGCTTGCTATTCTGAGACATCGTTTTGGCCACGGCTGCAGTGGGAAAGGCAGCGGCGCAGCGAGCTGAAATTGCAGGCTGCTTTTGCTTGTAGAGGTACTGAGAAATGCTCGTCCTGTTGTTTTGATAAATCAAATTGCACTGTAGGAAAGCCTGTGTCGGCGGGAGGGGCATTGGCCACAGCACATGTGTCATTTTTGGTAATTCTCTCCTTGTTTATCTTCCTCTCCCAGCTCTGGAGAGCCCCGCGGCTCTGTGCCACGTGCGGCGCGCTGCTCTCTCAGAGCACCCAGCCCTGCTGCACACTGCTGGCACGCTCCCTGGCCCTGCTGCGCTCTGCCCGCCGGTCCCACTCTCCCTGGCGTGGTGTGGGGAAAGCCTCCGGGTTTGATCCCAAACAGCCGGCTGGCTCCGTCAGCTGGAGCGCATCAGCTGGAGCAGGGTGAAACATAAACACCCGGCACTGGGGATTTTTTTCCTCCTCCTCCGTTGAGTTTTCTTACGTGCAGAGCTGGAGCCAGCTGTTCCCCGGCCAGGCACAGATCTCCACCAGCTGCAGGAGCTCATTTCATTTCATACGTCAGCTCGCAGCGCAACCTACAGTGCTTCTGAGTGTGAGTAGGACCCGGGGATACCCAAATTTACCCAACCACGTTCACTACTCTCTTCCCACCTTCGCATGCTAGTGGCACGGCTGGGGAGCTCAGGTGCCTGACCCATGTGTGCTCCCTCCCAAGAGAGCACAGGTGTGGCCGCAGCAGCTGCACCCAAGCCTCCAGAACCCAAATGTCAGGGCCGTGCCTGTGGTGCCAGAGCCTCTGCCTGCTTGTGTGGGTGTAGGAGTTTCACATTGTTCTCTACAGCCGCTAGAGGCGAGCTGCAATCTGCCCTGGCTTTCAGCTGGGGGGAGGCGCGGGCTGTGATTTCCCCATCCTAGGCTCCTGGATTCCAACGGCTGTAGGGCGGTGAGGGGCTGAGGGGTGCACAGCTGCTGGGGACAGCTGGGGGTGCTGCCCACGCTGCGCAGGGCTGGGCCTGGGCTGCTGCTACCCATGGCATTTCCCATTGAAAAGGGTAAAAGCATCCCAGGCTGTGTGAGCACAGTGATGGGGGGGGGAGCTCCTGTTTTCTAACCGCCTTGAAAACAAGCTACTAAAAAAGAGCTTTGAGGAGAAAAAAAAAAAGAAAAAAAGCCCAACCCAACCCCCAGCTGCTGAGGCTGATGTTTCCTCCTGTGCGCGCCAGATCCACACAGATGCTGATCTCTAGGTATCCCCAGAGTTGCCCTTTAGAGATAGCTCATCTTGGGGCCCCCACCACCCACACCCAGAGGAGAGATTTCCTGACGCGTGGGTGGCTTGCTCTTTCTTCTACGGAAAACCCAACTTTGCTCAGTTTTTGCTCAGTGCCATGGTGCCCACAGTGAGGCAGGGCCCCCGGGGGGGCTGGCATGTGTTTGTGCCACGTCCTTTGGTGGCCACCTGTCGCCATGCACCTGCTTGGTGCCAGCAACATTCCCTACCGTGGCCTGTCAAACACCAGATTTCTCAATTGCACTGAGAGAAGAAATAAATTACAAAGACAGAAGCTGTAGGCACCTTCCTGATGAGATGGGCGCATGATAATGTAGCAGCAATCCCACAGGGAGACAGCCCTAACGTCACCTGTGGTGCTGCCAGCCTGCCCCACTGCGAGTGCACGGCTGCTTGGGGTTTGCACTGCCATCCCACACCACGCACATCCTCAGCCCCTGGGGCTTATTTCAGGAGCAGCTACCCGTGCCCTGTGTGTGTCCTACTGCTATCCCCCTGTCCATGTCTTGCTGCTGCTGGGCACAGGGTGGCTGCAGCCTGAGAGGCACACCTTTTCTTCCTTCTCCCAGCTAAGAATCTCCCTCTTTTTCCCTCACCCCCTGCCACTTCTGGGGCTCCTCAGATGATTCACAAACAGCTTTGTCTGTGTATGCCTGGAGGGCTGAAAAATGGCAGCATTTTGCACAAAGCATGCCCCATAAAGGTCAGGCTCTGAAACCGATTCAGATAAAGGCTCGTACTTCAGGCATCTGGCTTAAACCGATTACATCTGCTGGCTTTGTGTGAAATGCCAGTTATCACAATGGGCTGGAGAAGCAGAAGTCGTCTTTTTCCATTCCGGTATGGAGCAGAATGAAGCCCATTGCAGCCCATCCCATCAGCCAGCAGTGCCATCACCGATGTGGAGGTGCTTGCAGGGCTGTGCTTATCCCACAGCCTTCTGCTCATCAGTTGAGGTGGGTTCCATCCATACGGCTGTTGGGCTTCAGGGGGCTGCGGCGTGTGAGAGAGAGGGCAGTCCTGGGGAGAATGCTGGGGTGTGGACACTCACTGACCCCCAAAACGCACCACGATACGGTCTGGGTGCAAAGGACATCCTGTTCTTGTGAGACGTTTACCCTCGAACCTCTGCGCGCGTGAGCCACCCACACAGAAACCAAAGTGATCTGTGGGGAGAAAATAGCAGAAGCTGAGTGTCGCCGTGCTGCCGCAGCCGCTCCCTTCCCAGCCCGGACCTTGCGCGGCGCTGCCGGCTGTGCTTTTCCCTAACGCCCTTCCCCAGTTAATTTCCCCAAGGGTTTTTCCCCTTGTCTTTCGGGACTGGAAACTTTGGCCCCCTGAGGGGTGGAGGGGTCAGCGCCTTATGTTCCAGTGCTGCTTGGAGCCACTGCCGATCCCTTCACCCTCCAGTCCCAGTGTGAGCCACAGCGAGCAGCCCAGTTCCATCCCAGTGGGTGCAGTGGTGTGTGTGTGGTGACCCACCTGGTGAATGAGGGAAAGGATGAGGGAAACTGCTGCTGATGCAGTCTATCCGGACTTTAGCGAAGCCTTCACCTTTGTCTCCCACATTATTCTCCTTCAGGAGCTGCAGCCCGTGACTTGGATAGGTGTACTCTGATGGCCAGGCTTGGAGCGTGGTGATGAATGGAGTCACATCCTGCTGGCAGCTGGTTGTGAGTGGTGTTCCCCAGGGGTTGGCACTGGGGTTAACCCTGTTTAATGCCTTTATAGATGATCTGGATGAGGGGATTGAGCGCACACTCAGTAAGTGTGTAGATGACTCCAAGTTGGAGGGAAATGTTGATCTGCTTGAGAACAGAAGACCTTACAGAGGGATCTGGACAGCCTGGAGGGCAATGGGAGGAAGTTCATCAAGCCCAAGCGCTGGGTGCTGCGCTTTGGCCACAGCAGCCCCACGCAGCGCTGCAGCCTTGGGGCAGTGGCTGGCAAGCTGTGCGGAGGCAAAGGCTGTGGGGCCGTTAGCTGACAGCCGGCTGAGCGTGAGCCAGCAGTGTGCCCAGGTGGCCAAGAAGGCCAACGGCACCCCGGCGTGTGTCAGCAGCAGGAGGTGAGCGGCCCTCCGCACTGCCGCTGGTGAGGCTGCACCTCCAGTGCTGCGCTCAGCGCTGGGCCCTCACTGCAGGAAAGACACCGAGGGCTGCAGCGTGTCCAGAGAAGGGCAGCGGGGCTGTGAGGGGTCTGGAGCACCAGTGTGATGGGGAGCGGCTGAGGAACCGGGGCTGTTCGGTGTGGAGGCTCAGGGCAGACCTATGGATCTGCAACCCCCTGAAAGGAGGCTGTGTGAGGCGGGGTCGGCCTCTGCCGGCAGGGAACGGCCATAGGACGAGAAGGGATGGCCTCACGTTGTGCCAGGGGAGGTTCGGGTTGGCTGCTAGGAACAATTCCTTCTGCAGAAGTGATTCTGCACTGACACAGCTGCCCAGGGAGCGCTGGGGTCACCTGGAGGAGTCCCAGAGCCGTGGGATGTGGCACTGAGGGACGTGGTTATTGGGCACGCTGCGCTGTGCTGCGCACAGCAGGATGATCGCAGCGGTCTTTCCCACCCCCGTGCCCGGGCTGTGAGTGATGTAACGCTGTGTGCGCGCACACATCCCCGCGCGCGGCACGGCCGTACAGCGGTGCGCGCGCATCCGAAGGCGCGTGCCCGCACGTGCGTACGGCGGCAGCGGGGCCGCGCGCGCTCCCGGCGGAGGGCAGCGGAGGTGAGCGGGGCGGGGCGCGGCGGGGCGGTCCGCGCGGTGGTAAACACGGGGCGGGGCGGGGCCGCGCGAGGAGGCGGAGGCTGCGGGCGCCGCGCACAGGGCCGCCGGCAGCAGCCTGCCGCCGCCCGCGCGCTCCCCCGCTCCCCCCTTCTCGCCCCCGCGACTCCGCCGGCGGCACCGTGAGCGGACCGGGAGGGAGGGCGGGGGGCGGCGGGAGGGAGAGGGGCGCGGGGCGGGCGGCGCGGGGCCGCGGGCAGAACAATGGGGCCGGGCGGGGAGCGGCGGCGGGAGGAGGAGAAGGAGGAGGAGGAGGAGGAGGAAGGGGCGGGTAGGGCCGGCTCCCGCCGCTCAGCGCTCCGCTCCGCCCGCAGGCGCAGCCCATGGCCAAGCAGCCCCCCGAGGCGAAGGCGCCCCGCGACCGCCGGGCCGGGCGGCTGCCGCCGGGAGAGGGGCCGGGCCCGGCCGTCCCGCTGCGGCCCGGAGCCCCCGCCGCGCTGCCCGGCGCCGCCCGGCCCGCCTCGCCCGGCAGCCCCGGCCCGTTCGCCATCCGCTCGCCGCTCTTCTTCTTCGTGCGGAGGTCCCCGCTGCTGCCGCGCTCCTCCAGCGGCTACTTCTCCTTCGAGGCCGAGCGCAGCCCCGCGCCCATGAGCTGCGATAAGGCCACGCAGACCCCCAGCCCGCCGTGCCAGGCCGTCAGCCACTACCTGAGCGCCATGGGTGAGTGCCGGGCGGGGCGGCGGCTGGCAGGTAGCGCTCGGGGATGGCGGCCGGCCGGGCGCTCTGGCCGCGCGGTGCCGTTTGCTTTGCTTTGCTTTTTTTTTTTTTTTTCCCTCGTGGTGAAGGTCTGTGGTTACAGCTGCAGCGCTGACTGTAACGTGCCCTTAGGAAAGGTTTTCTGACCTTACTGCCGTCCTTACGGCTCGCTGCGAGTTTCACAACGAGCCGCTCGCGTGGCACCGCCCGGACGGCGCCCGCCGCTCTGCCCCGGGCACGGAGAGCGGAGCCGTGCCTGGAGGCGACCCGCCGTGGGAGTGCCCGAAGAATGTCACCCGAGCCCCGCAGCCAGCTGTCTGCTGCTGCCCGAGGAATCTCCGGCGGATGTTTGGCTCTCGGTGGGAGCAGAGCCGTGGGTTTGTTTGCTTGTGCGGGTCAGCTCTCGCCGTGCCTGCGGGACGTTGCTGTGCTCTGCGCGGTGTGCGCTTCCCGTCGGCCGGCAGCGAGCAGGGGGAGGCGGCTGGATGTGTGCGAGCAGCACGGCCGTGCCGTCCTCCGATCCTCACTGGGCTCCGGTGAGGCACAGAGGGGAAAGGAGTGGTTTCGTCTCAGCCCTGCGTGGAAAAGGGGGAAATCCTCTGGGCGCAGTGGGGAAGCCTTAAAGTGGTTGAGGCGTGTGTTGGTGCGGTGCGGGCTGGTGCTCCTTTTTGCCTGCCTGACCTGTGGTTGTGTTGAAGGGGATTTGAGTTACAACAAAGCCTGGAGGGTGGTTTGGTTTCTACCTGTGAGTGTGGGCACGGCGGTGTTGTTTTGCATCATTTTCACGCGGCGCTGCTTCTTATGGCTGGGTGTGGGTGTGGGTGGAGGTGGCAGCTCCTGCTCCATGGGTGACATTGGGCAGGGAAACTTGGCAGACATCTCCTGGGCTTCGGGCTACAGACTTCACTTTGGCACAATTAGAGGAGGAACAAAAAAAAAAAAAAAAAAGAAATCATAAAACCGTAGAGCTGTTGGAATTGGAAGGGACCATCGTGGCCACCTGGTCCAAGTGCTCCGCAGCGAGCAGAGATGCTCAGACCTCGTGTGTCCCTGAGGCTGAGGCACCCCCCACCTCCTCAATTGGTTGCCCATCCCCAGCAGCCTGAGTTACCCATGGCTGGCGGCTGGTGTTGGCGCAGCCCAGAGGTGTGCAGAGCACCCATCCGTGGCTCACGCGGCGTGGGCCGGCTCCCGCTATGACTGTGGCCACGCTCTGAGAGTTCCCCTGCCTCTCTGCAATTATGACTGGACGCTTTTGATATTGCGATCCGGCAGCGCCGCAGAAAGTCCTTTCTGAAAACCTCAGCCCGATTTCACTCTCAGCCACGCGTCCCGGCGGGCGGGCTGTGCTGCGGGGCCGTGCCCTGGTGCCGTGGGGCTCCTGCGTGGGCTCTGCTCTCGTGCTGCAGTTCATTCAGCGACCGGGGGAAGCAATAACACGGGGCTGTCCCGGGAAGGCGGCGGGCACCGCTCCTGCGCTACTACAGTGTGAAAACAAAACAGCTCCCCGAGCCAAGCCGTGTCAGCTTGGCTCAGAAATGCATTTTCCAGTCGGGTCAGAGCCAGACTCCTTATTTAATTTTTTTTTTTTTTAATTTTTTTTTTTTTACTGCCCTACTAATCCTTTGAGCATTTAGAGATTGGAAGCTATTTGTATTCCCTCGCGAGTCCTTTTGAGCTTGGGTGCCAAGTTTGTGAAATGCTCTGTTTTGTTTTGAGTGCTGGTTTTTGTTTTGTTTTTGAGGGGGGTGTGTGTGTGGTGTTTTCTTTTGTCGTTTTCTATTTTTTATTACTTTTTTTTTCAATTTTTAGGCTGTGTTTCTTGCTCAAATCTGAGCTTTCCTTGGCAGGAGGGGGCACAGGTGCTGCACCGGGGCTTGCTCATTTCCCTTCCAATATTTGGCGGCTTGTACCGTGGTTTTATCATGTGCTCAGGAGCTTAAAATGGAGACTGAAGGCCCTGGTGCTGTATATTCAGCATAACTGATATCTTAGCTCTTTTTTTTTTTCACCTTTTATAAGCCAGTGCCATTTTCTTGCGCCTGGTTTATTTTCTGCTGAAGTGCTGGAACATAATACTGAAGAGCAGAGCCTTCCAGCCCCATGGTGGGGATGAAAAGTCCCGAAGTTTGCTCTGAGTGCACTTTGTCCAATTGTGGCTTTCTTAGCACGGCAGAAACAACCATGCTCCTTGTCTCGTTGGATGCCTCCACCGCTGTGGGAAGAAATGCGAGAATTAGACCAAATTATCAGGACTGAGGTTTTTTTAAGGTTAGAGAAGGAGCTGCTGCTTTGCCCTGTGAGAAATCATTATGTTTAGAAAAGGGGAAAATAGGATTTTGCTAGGGAAGAAGCTGCTGATGTAATAACGAATCAAAGCCTAACACCAACACAGAGCCAACACTGGTACAAGCCTGCAGCGTGCACATCGCACGGCCAGTCTCGGTTGCATTCTTCCCAGGTTTAATGGAGCATTTGCTTTCTGAGTTGTTCCTGTTTCCAACGCTCTGTTTTTTGCTCTGTGCAGCTTCCAGGTGGCGATCTCACTCACTTGCAGAAGAAATACAACCAGAAATATGGATTGCACAGGAGCTGCGGCGCATCGGGGATGAATTCAATGCCTCCTATTGTCCAAGAAGGGTAATTCTCTTATTTTTACTTTCCATTTCTTTACGCACAGCCTCTAAAAGGGAAAAGCTTAATCATATCTGGAAACTAGCTCTGTGGCAAGTGTTTTGTTCACTCAAATGTAGAAAAGGATGCGCGGGTGGCTGTCGTCTGCTGCCGCCGCGTCATGAAAGATACTCAGCACCACCTTTCGAGTTGGGACCGGAGATTTTCGGGTGTCGTGGCTTCATTCATGGTACTGAGAGCCAGTAAAGCATCATCTGTCTCTGCATTAGCGTTGAACTGGTGATAAGGAGGGAACCATGTAAGGCAAGCAGAGCTCTGTGTGTTGTTGGGGTGGCATTGGAAGGAGCTGTGCTGAGTGGCTGGCAGCTCTCGGGAACCAGCATTGCTGTTTTAAAGGGATTGCTGCTGTGAAGGGTCACCAGTATCAAAGTCTAGCAACAGGGATGAACCTCCTCTGATAGCTTATTTCTCCTAGAAGAATTCAGCAAAAGCTCCTTCAAAAATTGTGTGTTTCATAGAATTACTAAGGTTGGAGGAGACCGCTTGGATCGTCCGGTCCAACCGTTGATCCGTCACCGCTGTGCCCACTAGATCTGTAAGGCTGTAACTTTGAGAGGCTGTAAAATCTCACCTTGAAGTGGCACTGAGCGGTCTGAACGTGCACAAAAAAAAGTCATCAAAGAGATGAGGTAACAGCAGTTATCAGAAGAGCAGCGTTAGCTGATAACTTGCCTCTCATCCATTGTTCACAGCTGCATGTTTGTACATGTGGTTTCTAGTCCTTCTCCCCCTTCCTTTGGCTCACCTGTGGGAAGAGGAGAAGGAGACGTGTGTGATGATGTGCTGACTGCCCACATCTTTATTCATACCCCTGACTCATGAGTCACTTCCTCACTGTGTCCAGAGTCTGCACGGCAGAAGCTCTCCCCAGATTGGGTGCCTGTCCTGGTGCTGCCCCACATCCACTCCTGCCTCTGCTCTCTCACCAGCTCATTCTTTTTGAGTTCATATGTTTTTCCCCTGCTCTGGAGTCAGCAGCTTCCCTCGTGGATTTGCTCATTTTCCCTCCCTGCTGCTCACGTGGGTGAGGGCTGTAGCAGGGCTCGTTGGGGAATGCAAGGGCAAAGTAGTATCGCTTCCCGCAGGCTTAATTAGTCTGATGAATTCCTCTTGTCTGTTGCATCCAGAACCAAGCGGCTTTCAGAGCATTTAAGTAATTGCTGTGGATTTATTGTCCCCAGCGTGCTTGGCTATCGCTGCCTGAAAAGTTGCCTTTGCCTTCTGTGAGCAGCTTGCTGTTGAAGAAGCTCACACTTACTGAGCTGGATTGCCAGCACAGCACCAGGGAAGGGGTAAACATGAAGTTTTGCCGGCAGCCCGTGCTGCCATCACCCTCCAATCGCAGCAGGTTCATTCGGGCTTGCCTTTTGAGCACGGGTGGAAATGGGGAACTCAGCGGTGCCAAAACGGTGCTTGCCAGACAGGTCAGGGCTGTCGGACGGGTCGGCGCTGCTCCTCTGCCCCAGCGTGCCCAGCTGGGGGCCCTGGGACAAGAACCTGGCTGGGATGCCAGGAGGGTTTCCCAAAAGCAGCCTGGCTGTGTTCTGTCTGCCCTTAAAAGCTCCCCGGGGCAAAAACAACAGAGAATTAGGTAATTCAGCATCGATCCACCTTGACAAAGAGGTTGAGCAAGCGGGAGCAGCCGGTGTGCTCTCCTGCCTCGAAGCCCAGCTCCACGCACAGCAGATGCATGGTGAGCTAAAATGCGCTGCTCACCCTTCTCCACCTGGCTGTGGGATGTTTGAGCATCTTCTGTTGGGGACAGTGCACTCTGTGTGCCCTGTGCCTGCAACAGGAGGTTGCAAATCGGTGTAAGCAGCGTGATTTCTCCCTGCAGGGCATGTACAGACATGGTTCTGCTGCACTCAATATAGCCCGAACCACACCGTGTTCTGACAGCGTGGGAAACCAGAGGTGGTGGTGCTGGCACTTCTGTTTTGCTGTTGGGCTTGGGGGAGGGAAAAGGGTCCCCAAAAGTAAACTCTCTTTGAATGTTGCTGTGAAGTACTGGTCCTGTGCTCAAAGGAGGAGTGCTCAGCTGCAGTGGTTGCTCCTAGAGCCATTAGAGCTGAAGCCATGACTACCACCATCAGCAGGAACCCGTCTCTGCTACCACTGCTCTTCCTGCTGCAGGTCTTCATTTCTAGTTGGGTTTTGTATTATTATTATTATATTATTATTGTTATTACCTCCCTGCTTCTCTTAGCAGGGCTTACTGCTTGCTTCCACACTGCAGTCTCAAGCAGCATTACTCGCATCCCACACCCAGGTGATGTCCTCTCTGAGCCTTCATGGCAGATGTGGCTGGGAGCAGGCAGCTTTGGCCCACTGAGGACTATAAAGCTTCTTACTGAAACTCAGCATGAAGGGAGGCTGGGTTTACTTCTTGGTAAAATCAGAAAATGCACAATTTCCAGTTTGTGAAATCTCTCAGTCTCCAGTGTTAGGAAGAGCTGAGAACTGTGTGCTCAGCCTCGTCTAGATATTTGCCCTATTTGTGTTGGATCATCTTCTGCTCAGAAAAAATCTTGAGTTGGCTTCAGTGAAGTTGAATTGAGCCCAGTTTATGAATGTGCTGGAGGACAATGCCAGACCCTGAGGCTGGGGACAGGGAACTGGTCATCTTGCAGCAGTCTTGGTTTGGTGCTGGTTGGGATGCCAGCAGTGGCTTCCCCAGGACTGAAGCGCTTGATGTCATTGAGCTGAGTTGCCTTCATTTTGTTTCTGTGCTGCATCTCCTTGGCGGTGACAAATAACAAGCATCAGTGCATTTTGGCCACCCCTTGGGGTGAACTTTGTTGTCTCATTTGTACTGAACCCCCTGAAGCAAGCTCAGTAGGTAAACGTAGACCTTTCCTGGTAGTGGCAGCAGTGGGGAGAAAGCTCAGAGTTGCAGTGCGGAAGGTGCCAGGCCCACCTTCTCCTTCCTCACGTGCAGGAGATGTTCAACTCACGGTAACTGGGAATTCAAGTCACTTTCTTACTTTCTGCCCCGTTTCCCTCCTAGGGTTTCTTGGATAACCACGCTGGAAACCCCCAGGTGGTCATTCTGCGCCTCCTGCATTACATCATCCGCCTCATCTGGAGGATGCAGTGACACCGGCCGTGTGGGCTGCTGGGACTCGACGGCTCCTTCCAAAATCCAGTGGAGAAGAGCCAATGCCAGAGCTTGGAGCTTCCGAGCTGCCCCCCCTGGCCTGGGCGTGCGGCGGCCGGAGGAGGGCGGATTTCCCACGTGGACCCGCCGGGATGCTCCAAAGCTAGATTTTATCTGAGAGTGGTGTTTACTGTGTTTCTCTCCATTTTTAATTATTGTTTTTTGAATTGTCTCAGAGAAATGTCCTCAGTGACGATGTTGGGTCATCGTTTCTGGAAATCCGTCGGCTCATCTTGGATGCGTCCCAAGACCCTCCAGATCCAGCTGATCTGCAGAGCTGCCTTATTTGTGCTGCAGGTGTTGCAGGGAGCATTGGACGCCCCCCGGCCGCTGCGCTGCCGCCTCCTCCTGCCTGCCAAAGAGGATGAGGATGGAAGAAGGGCGGAGAGATTTTAATCAGCACTTCTTTTATGTGTAAATACCCTAATGCTACCCCAAATCCAACTTCGGTTGCGTCATGCAAATATTCCTGTTTCCTGCTGACTGTTTTTTGTTTTTTTTTTTTTCTTCCCAACTTTTATTTTAAGTTCTGAATTTCAAGACTTAGCTGTCAGATTCCCAGGGTCCAAAATATCACAACCAACCAACCAACCAAACAAACAAACAAAAACAATCCACCAGGTTGCCTTTTTAGAAATTCTTTCTATAAGACGTGTGAAAATGCTTACGTATTGTATAATATTATAATATATAATATCAGTGACTGAGTAATTCAGCAATAAGATGTCCTTGGAGGCAGGTTAAAACAGTTCCCAAACCATTGCAGTTTTGCACCCCGTGACAGGTTCCTGCTGTGCGACTCCAGGAACTGTTCTAAAGGCATGGTTAGCGTGTTGCTGTTAAACCCAAGAGGGTTTTTGGCACACTGGATGTTTTCTGGGATCCTCTGTTTGGACTGGACCAGGGCTATGGGAGAAGTCTGCAGGCGAGGAGCGAGGGGATGAAGACCCTGAAGGTTCCTGTGATGGAATCCAGCTGAATGAAGGGCCGTGCAGTGCTGAAGGACGCAGACTTGCTTGTGCACGCTGTTTGGATGGTAACAACTCATCACAGAGCGTGGGGTCTGCACCCTGCTAGCCTTGGGCAGGTCTTCTTGTGGCACATCTCCTCCTTCCACCTGGGAAGACCTCAGCAGGTGTTTGAAGTCCCAGGACGATGCCCTTTCTCTCCTCCCTTCTGGAGACCCTGCCACGTGGCTCTAGAAGCTCACCACATGGGTGTGTGGTGTCCCAGCCAACGGAGACCCTGCCATCATCTCTGGTTCATCTCGCACAGGAGGCTTCTGCACAGCCGGTGCTTTTTGGGGCGCGTCGTTGCTTCGACCGCCTGCGTTTCTATGCACAAACGTAACTCCTCTCACCTTCAAAACTGTCCCCTTTCCTCCAGCTGGTGCGGATGGTCCTAAAATCACCTTCCAAATGCTGCAGTTAGTTCTGGTTTCACCAGCACCGGAGAAGCAGCAGCAGCAGCAGCAGCAAACCCGGCCCTATGGTAGCGGTTTTTCCTACCGCATTGCAATATGCACGTCAGGAGAAACTGTCCTGCGTGCCGCTGTGTGGAGATCAGTGTTCCTGTGTTAGAAGAGCTGTGTACAGTCTGACCTCTTTGCACCAGCTGGGAGGCGATGACCCGTTGGCGTGGGGCTGCCTGCCCCTGATTGCACTCGTTAGAAGGAGAATGGAGCAATTTTAGCTTTTCTGGTCCTGCGTCCCTTGGAGCACACCAAAGAAGGGTGGCCAGCACCCAGCACTTTGCCCTGTCCTCCTGGCTCTATGCTAGGCAGAAAAAAAGAAGGGGAAGAACGCAAGGGATTGGCACCATCTGGCTTGGGCTGCTCCACATCCAGCTTTCCCAGCCAGAATGCAGACAGAGGAAAACGTAGCTCCAAAAAAGAAAACCAGGCTTCGTCCCTGTAGGGTTGTGAGAATTGTTTAATTTTGGTGGTTTTATTGTTTTTAATGTCCAGAAAAAGAAGAATGATGGTTTTAAATCAGCTTTAGCAGTGCTCACCGATGGCTTTGGGTCGTTCTGAGCCCACGTCACCAGTGCTCTCTGTTCTGCCAAAACGATTCCATGAAGTTCAGTGGTTGCAGAGAGCCCCCGTTGTGCTGGATGGTCCCACGCCACGCGTTACGCCTCCCAGTTGGTCACTGTAAATACCTGACTATTTATTAGAATAGGGCACCGTATTATTTTCATCATCTGAGCCAAATATCTGCGTGCAATGTATTCTCTTTCCATTCTCTCATGTAAGTTTTGTACAGCTTATAAGTAATCAAAAAAAAAAAAAAAAAAAAAAATCCTGTTTTTTTTTTTTCCCTAAACTTTTTTAGAGTTAAACTTGGTAAATACTGTAGATCCTCCCTCTCCCTTTATTTTTTTTTCCCCCTGCCCCTGTGTAATCAATGCACTCTACTGTTCCATCATGCTGTAACTTGTAGAAACGATGGCTATTTATTTCCTGCTTATTTAAATTCCTGTCGAGGTTCTGCCTGCCCCTCTCTCCTCCTGCCCCAGGTCTGTGGTGTGGATGGGCCTCCCACATGAGTGATGGACCTCCCAGCGCTGCCCGCTGGATCCAGCGCAGCCAACGCGGCGCAGAGATGATTGCTTTGAAGTGCCTAAGTCCTGCACACCCATAGGGATTTAAGCACCTCCGACATGACAGCATTAGTGAAATTCAGGGGAAGTTTGGCTTCTCCACCACGATTTTGGTCCTCTCCTCTTTAAAACCACATTCTCTTCTGTCTCAGCCAAGATCCAGGACCAGCTTTAGCATCAGGTACAACCGGAGTGCACACTGATGTCCCAATTAATCACTAACTCGTTTTCATAGGACCCAGCATATGTAGCATTTTTATTGCAATTTCCCTGGCTTACTTGTGTTTTGCACTGATGAATTTTGGACAGGGTAATTGCCACTTTACTTGTGCAATACTGCTGTAAATAATTGCAGATCTTTTTTTTTTTTTTTTTTTTTTTTTTTAAGATGCAATCTTTTATGTTCTTAATATGAGTTTTATATGAATAAAACCTTCAACTATTTGACTACTTGTCACGAGTGGTGCTTTCTTTGAGGGCTTCTGGATCGACCTTCTGCCAGCAGTTTGTTGGTGATTTTAGGTGCCTGCAAGAAGAGCAAGGCAGTGATCTGTTCTTGTGTTTAATTCAGTAGGGATTTACAGGGCTTGCTTTTTTTAATTCGTTTTTCTTCTTTTCCTGGGTTGTTTAGGCTCCTTTAAGCTACTAGAATTCTGTGAGGGTTTTTACTTATTTTGAGTTCATCCTCACAATCTGCTCATTGACACCACCTCCCTGCTTTCCCTTGCCTTGGCCCTCCCTCCCTCTTCTATCCTCACTTCTAAGCCCTCCCCAATGTTTGGTGGCCGCATCCCCTTTGGACTTGGTGATGGTGTAAGAGCACAAGGGGACGGGATGGCTCCTTGCCCTGAGCCATCTACCCGAGCGATTGCTCACTTTGCCTTTATTTCACCACAGATAATAGCTGGCAGATAACTGATAGCATCAGCTGTGGTTTGGAACAATTATTTTGCTGCGCTCGCTCGTGTGGGGCTCTCCGCACAAAAGGAGCAGCCACGGGGTGATGGTGGGGCTCATGGAGACCAGCAGCAGGGGATGGCAGAAACAAGAAGCCAAGCACACAGATATGTGTCTCCGCACACCTCTTTGCTGTTTGCTCCCTGAGGCAGAGCCCAAGCCACTTGTTCACGATTATCACACCTCCCCTTGCTGGGAATTTAGCCCCGGCCGTGAGTCATGGTGGTGAGGCGAGAGCAGGGCTTGTTTCTGCAGAGGCAGCTGCACTTCCCTGTTTGTTTGTGCCTTGTTTTGTTTTGTTTTTAAGCTGCTCAGAGTCGAGGAGGACTTTTGAATATCATAGAATAATAAGGTTGGAGAGACCACTACCACGATCCACTCCAACCGCCAACCCATCGTCTCCAAGATATTGCTGTTCCCCTTCATCTTCCTCCTCTTTTCAACTCTCCAAAAACCTGTAAGTGCATTTCACTTTATAAAAAGATCATGACAGAAGGACAACAAGAAATAATAATAATAAAAAAGATCTCCAACCTCTCCTCACAATCCCACTGGGCTCTTGGGCGGCTGTCTTTAACCACCACAGTTCCCTGCTGCTCAGTGCACACTGCTGGGATGCTTTGGCTCAGAACTGTGATGCTGACAGCTGAAAGGAAGGAAGAAAGTGGGGAAGAAACAAATCAGAGAGAAATGTGCCCAGGAACCCCTGCCCTGTGAGAGGCTCCTGCTGAAATATATTAAAGAAAACCAGAAGCCCACCCCGACTTTGACAAACAACAAAATTTCTGGATTGTTTTTCTTTTCTTGTGCTTGTTTCAAATTACAGAAGTTCTTGAAAGGGAAGTTTATAGGTTTCAGGTGCTATTTTAGGGGCTGCTTTAACTCAACAATGCCCGTATTGCCCAGCCAAGGCCATACCATCAGCCTGGGGATTTTTGGTCCCATTCAGGAGGATGGTGGGACTGGGATGTTAGAGGAGGATTTTGGGGACAGCCCTGACCCCTCTGGGATCAACATCTTGTCTCTCATTCTGGGGAAAATCCTATGAGTTTTGCAAGCTAACTAACAGGGCCTTTGGCCATGAGCTGGAGACAGGGCCAAGCCAGAGTGACCTGTGCAGGCAGGTTGTTTGCTGATGGTTCTCCCTCTTTTCTTTGCTGTGACTTATTTTGGAAGGAGCTCAGCCTGAACTCCACCACCTCGGTGAGACAGCAGGGAAGGGAAATGCTCCCTGGTGGCATCCCACAGTAATGAGAGTCCCAGCTGGTTTCTGCCCATGGCCACCAGCCTGGCCCAGGAAGGCTGTGGCCACATCTCAGTAGGCTATGGCCAGGCCCATGGCAGTCTCAGCCCATATTGGCCCCATCCTGGCTTGCCATGGTGGCCATGGCCTGGGTTGGACACAAACAGTCCCAGCTGGCCATAGCCCAGGTTGACCATTTCCCAGTCCACCAAGGACGTGTCGTCTGGTCCCTCTCCAAAAGACTGGCTCTTTCTTCCTGTGGTCTCAAAATAATGCTTTAGTGACAAATTACAACCACCATCCATTTTCTGTTTGTTTGAATGATGACAAACTTCCTTTATTCCTTGAAAAGGAAAAAAAAAAACACAAAAAAACAAAAAAAACCAAACGCCCAACAGTTCGATCATGTGAAAAGCCACGTGCATGGCTCATGGCCACGTGTGGATCTGCTCTTAACCTCTTTCAGCTGAACCTACTCACAGCATACCTCCTCTTGTTGATGTGGGACGATGGAAATCCAATGACAGCCCCGAGGATAACAGTGGGCCATGCTACGAGGAAGGGAGCTCTTCTAAACCTCGTGGGAGGTGGTGATGTGGAGAACAACAACCCAACGCCACCCTTTTGATGGGCAGATGTGGGGCTCCTCCTGCCCGCACCCTCACACTACGGCATCAAGCTGCTCTGTGTTAATAAGGAACTCTGAGAGTCAGTTTCATTATGGCTGGATTTGTGCTGGATTTCTACCTGGGATGAATTTTCTTCTTTTTTTTACATATATTAGCCGATAAAGCCAAAAGTCTCATTCCAAAGACAGCGTATGCAGGTGGGAGGTACAGCGCTGAGCATCCTTGGGGTGCCATAGAACAAATACAAAGCGAGGCCCAAGCTCCATGCCCCAGAAATGAGGATGAAAGCGTTTAGGGCCATCGAACACCAGGGGAGCGGCACAGCCATCCTGCCATACCCTCACTATATTTTTTTCCAATGACTCGCATCTGACCTTTCAAACACCTGTTCAGCCTAAAACAGCTAAAAATACCCACCCAGCTTTGCATCTGATTTTCATATTGCAACAAAGGTCACTGTTTCCAGTGGGTTTTCTGACATTTCTGATGGGTTCTAGGATGTTTGAGCGCTGGGCACTCTGACTCCGCCACAGACGGGCATCCCAGAGCCCTGGCCACTGGGCAGGATTTCCCAATCTTCCCCAGCACTTTCCCAACAGGTCCTGGATCTGCACGGATGTGGTGGGACTGGCTGCATCTGTATGGTGTGACAAAACCAATTTCCTTCTACCGCTGGCCTCCTGAGAGTCCCAGTGCCAGCATGAAAGCCGCCTAGCTCACGCTCCTCTGCTTTCCCCAGCAGCACTGTCCTGAGCCAAAATTTCTGAGCAGCTTCAGCCCAAGGACACACAAATCCCACCAGCACTGAAGGAATAGGGTGGGAGTTTCTCCTGCCTGGTATTTTGATGGGCTCATATTTTAATGTTGTCGGGAGTGCACGGGGGAGCCTTCGCTACCCGGCCGCGTGGGCTGCCGCTAATTAAACCACGCTTTCTCTCGGTGTGATTCCTGACATCACACACCGAATGGAAACTTTTTGACAAAGGCATCGGTTTAATTAGGGAGAAAATGTTTGAAGGTGATGCTATGTCAGCTCCCGAAGGGGGGCAGGACATGGCAGGCAGCAAAATGCCACCTCCCCAGCCGTGCACCGGCGCTGCCGATGCCGCTCTAATTGGCTCCGCTTTGCACATCTGTGTTGGCGCTGGGCTCAGCTCGGAGAAAGGTGAAAATAAAGGGTTGGATTTCTTTGCTTTTTTTCCACAAGACAGAAGCTGGCAGCACGCATCCTCCCTGCTCCCTTGGGACTCCCAGCCCAGCGCTGGGTCATGGGGCTGCGTCGCGGCATCGCGGCGAGGAGACGGCTGCAAAAATGTGAGCAGAGGGACACAACCTTATGCCTCCCAGACGAAAGATGGGTTCCTAAGCTCAGTTGTTAATGCTGGGTCTAGCCCCGACCTTGGGATTCAGGTGGTGGACTGCTGATGGTGCCTGAAGGTGATGGAGAGCGGTCTCGGCGGCACAGGGATGCACCCAATATCCACAGTTGCTCAGAAAAGATGGCTTAAATCTGTGTGTTGAAAGCAGGGAAGCCCAAGGGGAACTCTGCTGCCCCAATCTCACTAAAACCAGTTTTAGAGATCAGATGTGGGAGCAGGCCCTCATCTGAACGTGCGAACACGGTGCTGGCTCTAACAGATGTGCTCAGGGCATCTCCTTGGGTGCATCCCTCAAGAAAACCTACTGAGTGCCACCGCCGTGCTGACAGGGAGTGAGGTGGCTGCCGAGCCCTGCTGCCAGCCGGGGAACACAACGAGTGAGCATCAGCATTCAAATTACTTATTGGCAGAAATGGGTTTAAAAATAGGTTTTTATGATAAACAAACTAACCTCATACAGGAAGTGAGCTGCAAATACTAAAAACTCGTATGGTGTTAAGGGAGCTGGTAGAGCATAGATCTGCCCTGCAAAAAAAGAAAGAAGAAGAGAAGAAGAGAAGAGAAGAGAAGAGAAGAGAAGAGAAGAGAAGAGAAGAGAAGAGAAGAGAAGAGAAGAGAAGAGAAGAGAAGAGAAGAGAAGAGAAGAGAAGAGAAGAGAAGAGAAGAGAAGAGAAGAGAAGAGAAAAGAAAAGAAAAGAAAAGAAAAGAAAAGAAAAGAAAAGAAAAGAAAAGAAAAGAAAAGAAAAGAAAAGAAAAGAAAAGAAAAGAAAAGAAAAGAAAAGAAAAGAAAAGAAAAGAAAAGAAAAGAAATTTTAAAATATTTTGCAAACTCTCTCGTGGATTTGTTTTTGTTTTTTTTTGTTTTGTTTTGTTTTGTTTTGCTGCCCAGAGAAAGCAGTTGGCATGGGAAAAGGAAAAAGGTGGCTGGGAATAAGGGCTGCTCCCAGAGCTAATGGAGTAGGGGTGCCAGGCTCACACTCACCCCCCAGAAATACAGACACAGGGCTGGGACAGCAACCCATTGCTGGCACTGTGCTCCTGCATGCCCTGAGCAGGATCTGGAGAGACAAAACCCAAACCTGGCCCCAGGGTGATGCTCGGCTCGCCTGCATCCCATCCATATGCACGGCACTGATAGGCAGGGAAAAAGGAGAAAAGCCACAGAAACCGAGCAACGCAATGCAGCGTGTGGCGAGAGCAGCTTTGGTTTCTCACAGCCCTTTTTTTTGTTATGGAAAACAGCAAGGGGATTCAAAAAACCCGCTGGTGCTGCAGGGATGCGGGAGCGGTGTGTGGAGGCAGCAGGGCTTGTGCCCTCCTTACACACCCCAAATCAGAGCGAAGCCCCAGCGATGCACAGCCAGCTTCGAGCCACGAACGCCGTGTTTCAGTGCTTCTGGGCTTTAAAAAGCGCCTGCTGCTGCTGCTGCTGAAAAGGTTAAGCAGTTTTCCTACCGAAACCCGAGTGTGGGCTGTGAAAGAACATGTTAATGAAGAAAATTTCCCCAGGGCTGCTCTTTTATTATCACCAAAGCCATCAAGTTTCAGTTTGAGTTATTTGTATTTATTTATAAAAAACAAAGATTAAATAAGTAGAACAAAAACAAAAACCTCATCCTAATTTCTGCGCTCAACCTGATTTATTAAGACAAAGGAAACTCTCCTGCAGCAGGTAGCTGTGCTGCCAGGCTGAAAAACCCTCCTGCATCACGGCGCCCAGGTTTTGCTTTCCCCCTCGCTCTGCTCCACGGGGCAGAAACGATTATATTCACTATGAAAATGCTGCTGTGAGATTGAGGTCTTTGCAGAGAGAAAGCAGGCTGGCAGACAGCCCCTAAAAAGCATCACTGTGCCCAGCACCGACCGGCCCAAAGCAGGGATGGGCTGCAAAGCAAGGTGCCATCTCCCCCCAAAGCACCAGCAGAGCCCAAGGGCATGGGAAGGGGCTGGCAGCCCCCAGCATTGCAGCCTGTGCCCCTCTGGTTGTCAGATATTAACAAGGGAGCAGCTGATGTTTCTCTCTTGGTGTGTTTTCACTCCTGTCGCCAGAGACCTGGTTAGAAAACACACAAAAAAGCCCTTCAGTGGTCTCGTCGCCTTTAACGCGTTGTTTTTCTACATATTTTATGTTGTTGGCTTTTGTTATCAGTCTCATCTGCAATTTGTGGCCAATTCTGTCATGCTTTAGGCAGACATCTTGTTCCCAAAACTGTTTGCAGCCTTTCAGCTACAGTACAGTGGCGAATACAGCACGAGGCCGGCTGCGGCACAACGAGAAAAAGGGCAGATTTAACCCCAAAATCACTCTCAGCTTGGATCCGCTCTCCACAGAGGGCAGGTGGGCAGTGGGCAGCTCCGGCTTGGCACGGCAGCCCCTCTGGATGCCACGGCACGGGCAGGGCCGGCACGGCGCCATTTCCCAGTGCTTTTCCCCCAAAACTCAAGGCATCCCATTCCTGTGCTGCTCTTAGGGTCTCGGGGGAGCAGGAGGTGCTGGGGCAGCCCACGAGGCCGCAGCAATGCCCCCACAGCCTCGCCAGCCCAGCGCCACGGCCATTAAATCACTTGAACTCTTATTTACCACCGAAAACAAACGCCGCCGACCCGGCGCGTATTCAGTATTAATATCGAAACCAAAAAGCAAATTAATACCGCAGAATCAAAGTATTTAAAAATAAAATGAAAGTCACGCCGGGGAGGGCCGGTTGCCGCGCTGCCAAGCGCGTCCCGTGGGCTGCACACCCGGCATCCACCGGCCAGCCTGGAGAGGGGCTCAGCAGCACCATTTTGTGCCGCTGCCCATGGCTGAACGAACGTTGCCGTGCTGGGCAGGAAGGGAGCATGGCCAGGCCCCACGTGGCACGGAGTCAGCGGGAGCGAGGGGCCGCATTCCCAGCCATCCCCGTGCCCCGAACGGCCGCCCGTCGCCGGGGTTTTTCCACCCAGCCACCCACGGCGGGCGGGGGGCATGACACACGCCGAAACCCCGCTCCCCTTCCTGGCCCTGCCGCCGCCGCCTCGCCGCCTCCCGCTCGCCCGAGCCCACAACGGTTTCCGCGAAAGGGCTGGAGGCAGAGGCGGCTCTGGACGAGGGGCGACGGCCACAATTTCAGCCCCTCTGCTGAGGGGTGCCGTGCGGCCCTGCCGTCCCGGGGGGCTCTGCGGGGGGACCCCACCACCACCGCACCGCGTGCGCCGAGCTCCCGGCCCCCCCGGCCCCCGCTGGCGGCCCCGCATCCCTGGCACACGTGGGCCGTGCCGGGGGGTCCGGTAGCCCCCGCCAGCAGGCTTTTATGCACTGAAACGGAGTGAAAAATAAGCGTGCCGCGGGTCTCCTGACGCCGTCTGCACTTCCTGTGACTACGCGCGGCACGGCGCCTTTCGGGCTGATCCTTCCTCTATTTATCAGCAGTAAGGGATGGCAGCGTGGGACAAACCCACGTCCCGGGCTCCCAGCCCAGAGCGGAGCACACACCGAGGGCTGGAAGCCGAGCAGCAGGCTGCCTTGTGCCCCATTGACCTCGTCCCCACGCACGGCGCTCCCCACGTCCTGCTTGGAAGCAGGGAGCCAAAAGGCGGCTACAAGAGGCTGGGTTGGAGCACGGCGTACTTTGACTCATCCACTGCTGGGCCGCCCGGCCCGCCAGCCACGCTGGTATTCACAGCTCCGAGTGGGGAGGGCACCCATGCGGTGAGGTTTGCAAAATCCTTCTAGTTTGACTCATGTGGAAAGAGTGAAACACCAAAGAGTGTCCTGAAAGTGGGCTGCACGGAACGCTTTTACTGCGCAGCTGACCACATTTGAAGAAAGCAGAATTTCGGACGGATTCAAACAGCCATTTTCAGTGGCTCTGGGCAGAGGTGGGCCTGGGGGGGGGGGGGGGGGGGGAAACAGCCTGCACTTGGGAACGAGCTCATCTCGTTCTTTTGTAATTCACAGCACGCGATGTGGGGAGGAATGGGGCTGCTGCTGCTGCCCAGCAGGAGCCATGTGGAAAACCACCCTGGGACTTCCATGGGGGTGAGCAATTGCCTTCACGACAAGCAAGCTGAAAAAGAGCCTAACACGCAAAGCACTGCAGCAAAATGTCGAGGGCTATTCACTGCTGCAGCGCATCGAATGAAAGTGGAACCCAGGGAGAAGCAAAACGCAGCTTTCTGGGGGAGGGCGAGTGGGAAATCCCGGCCGTGAAGTACATAGGAAACAACATCCCTGGCCCTGCGGGGTGGCACGGGGCGCTGGGGAAATGAAATGTCCCCAGGTACGGCGCGACAGCCGGGCGCCTCGAGCATCGCCGCGCGGCTCAGCCGCGAGATGCCAATCGTCTCATCAAAGCCAGCAGAAAACAAAACTGAGAAGCAGCTTGTGGTTTTACGATGAGCATTGGCATAAAAATATTGAGATTTTAAACACCTTCGCCGTGCCGTGAAGAGACACAGGGGGCTGTTTGTGAGGTCCCTGATATTTAGCGAGGTTTGTGGCTGTGGATCTGGACAGCTTTTTGCTGCCCTCTCCTCTCCCCAGAGGCAAACAAGGGGCCATCGGGGCCACCAGCAGGTGAGGAATTAGAATCAGAGAACCATTAAGGCTGGAAAAGGTCACCAAGTACAACCCCAACGCCACCCCCCAACCACCGTGCTCACTGCCCACGTCCCTCAGTGCCACTTCCCCACGGTTCTGCAACACCCCCCGTGACCCTGTCTCTCCCTGGAGTGCCCCTTTCCTTACATTCCATCCCCTAAAAGCAAGGCGCACAACAGAACACAGACAACAAGGTGTCGGAGCCCTCGTGGGTTGTGCAAACCCAGCGTGTGCCCCTTCCCCGGCGTTCTGGGGAGGTGCTGCTCCAGCAGCAGCGCTCTCAGCCCAGCACTTCCTTTCAAGCAAAGCCCTTTCCCTCATTTCTGAGTCATTAGGAGATCTAAGCGCAGAAACACCGCCAGCTTTCAGAGCACAAATTACGGCAGGGATCAGCCCGGCAGCACGCTCCAGTCTCGCCTTGCCGCCCAGCAGCGTGTGCAATCCCTTACTTCGTGTAAATACACGTCAGACTGCACGCATTCCTATTGACACGCACAAAGTGCCCATCGCCGGGCTGATACACAGCGCCTAAAGCTGAAAATCAGCCGAGAAATGGAGGAAAAGCCGCACCTTCGCAGCCACCCCTGGAAGCCAGAGGCACCCCGGGGTGCCGCAGCCGAGGCGGGGGCGCTGTGTGCGGGAGGAGGGCGGCAGCACCCGCGCCTGCACCGGGCGAGATGAGCTCGGCGATAACGCGCAGCCAGACGGTGCCTCAGCGCCCCGTCGGGAACGGCCACGGGTGGGTGTTGGGAGTGCCGAGCCCCGGTGAAGTGTCCTGAAACACTCATTTCAGACAAGTGTATGCAAATCAACGGTATATAAGGCTAAACCCTCCCACCTGGGGTCAAACCACATCCCATTATAGTGCGGCGCTGCGCTGAGCCGGTGCCGGGAGCGGGGCCGTGCCGAGGGCTCCCCGGCTTCTCCATTTTGCAGCAGCGGGGCCCCAGCGGATGGGAGCGAGCGGGGGGCCCCCATAGCCACCCCATCCCCTTCGGGATAACCCTCCTGAGCGCTTAGGGTGGTAGATCACGGGATCGTTACGGCTGGAAAAGACCGCTAGGATTATCCAGTCCAACTGTCTGCCCATCCCCACCGCGCCCACCAACCAACCGTGTCCCTCAGCCGGGACCCACGCACCGCCCGCATAGATCTGGAGATGTTTGCCCCAGCCGCGACGTCGGCTTTGCAAACCAAAATGCAGTGGGGAGGAGAGGGTGGGAGGGGAAGGGTGGTGTGTGTGTGTGTGAGGGGGGGGAAACAATTTGCTCGCAGCTCCGAGTCTTTGCCGGGCTCCCGGTGGGAAGGAGAAAGGCTCCCGCCCGTTAAACAACAGGGATTGTTTATCCCTGGGTTTGCGATGTTTGCTTTGGAGCCTCTCCAGCCTCTCACACACGCCAGCAAAACACGCCGCGAAAACACCGAGCGCCCGCGGGCGGCAGCAGCGCAGCGCAGCGCTTCGTGCAGCGCACACGGCTGCAGCTCCGTCCCGCAGCGCTGCCCGTGTAGCGCGAAGAGCCGGCAGCCCCGGTACCCCAACGCCCCGGCCGGCCTTGGCCCGCGGGCTCCCCCCGCTGCCAGGAAAGCGCATCTCCAGCAGCGTCCCTTCCCCATCGAATCGTCTATCAGAAAACGCGTGCACCGAGAAAGCAGAAGCGTCGGCAAATAACCCTGTCGGCCAACAACCCTGTGGGTAAAAACCAAGAGCAGGGAGGCAAGGGAACGGGAGCACCGTTTCCCAGCCCGCGTTCCCCAAAAGGTGATGCTCCTCCTGCGAGGTTTGGCCCCTCTGCGTCACCCCGGGCCCGAGGGGCGGGCAGTTGGGGCTTCATGGCTTTGCGGAATCCCGGCTCGCGTGAATCAGGTGCTTCCAGCCCCAAAGCAAAGCCTGCGTGACTGCGGGAAGGTCGCGCCGAGGGATGGCGACGAAAGCGGCCCGCAGCCGAATCTGCTGACTCATTTTTGGCCGCCCGGGGAGGTGCAGCACCTCTCGCCTCCGCCATTCTGTTCCCTGGGGTTTTCCCTCTCCCCTTGTTCGAGCAGGAGCTGAATTACCAAAAGCGCTCATCACGTGGCCCCGAGAGTGCAGACCCAGTTTCATTTACCGTAAGAGCACAGGCTCGAAAATACTCCCATTTCCCGCAGAACAGAAGATCTGCACTCTGCTGGGAGACGCAGAAGGCAAGAGCTCGGCGCCACATTTTGGGTCCCCGCATCCCACTCACCTGAGATATTTCCTCGTGGGGAAGAAGCCCTCCGTGCCCGGCTCGCGCCTCCGTGGGGCTGCCAGTGCCAACCCGCTGCTGCGCTCCGGCATCCCCACGGATCTCCTGTGCTCCCGCTCCAGCCGGGGCCCTGCAGGAGGAACGCGCCTGCCTTAGCAGGATAGGATGCGAGATGCCGTGCGAGGAGAGCTGCCTTCACAAAGCAACTTTCAGCAATTGACACCAGGCGGCCGGCGCGTCCACAGGTGTGAGCAGCGGGGTGCTGCGCTGGATGGATTAGCAGTGCTGCAGGTTGGCTTCAGTCGGGGAGGTGCGTGGAAATAATAGGGGGGGGAAGATGCAGAGGAGCCACGCTCGCTGCACCAGGGCAGCAGCATCCCTGTCCCGTGCCGTATGGATCTGTCTCATCCTTCCCAAACTCATGTCTGGTTTTATAGGGAGGAGCGGATCGGGGTGGCTTTCCCACGGCTGCTGGCCAGCTACAACCTTTGGGAAGCACGCGGGGTTTTTCCCATCAGAAATTGACTTCGCTATGGGAAACTGTGAGCCGGCTGGGAGCAAGAGGCAGAAATGGGGATGGGAATCAGGCAAAGGCTTTTAGCTTTTCAAATCCAGTGGGAAAACTCCCACGTGGAGTGAAGGCAGAGGCCCTAGGAAGCCCTGGGAAAGGTCTCGCTTCCGAGGGTTTGCAGCAAAACCCTGAGAAAGAGATAGGGACAGAGGCCCTGCGTGTCCCCCAGGGTGGCAGATGGCCCCAGGGGCAGCCTGGGGAGGGCTGGGGCCAGGCTCCCATTGCAGGGCGAGTGCAGCCCCACGCTATTGCTTTTGGCAGCACCGCTCTCACTCTTCCACTCCTTCCTTATTTAAAGAGCGAGTTGTATTTTCTGCCATTCCAAATAAGACCTATTAGAAGGCCAGGAACGGAGGGGCGGAAAAGTTGCTGAGCTCAGACTTTGTAGGGATAAATGGATTTCTTTGAAAAAGTACAGAAGAGGAAAAAAGAAAAGAAAGAAGAAATCCCAACCTCCGGCTACCTCCAGGCAGGAGCCCAGCACTCCAGCACTTTGGGTGCATGTGCTGTTGGCCATCAGCCCACCGAGCTTTGTCTCTCGGTGGCTGCAGGAACGGGCACTTGCTGCCCAAGCAGCTCCACGGCTGCTGCAGCACCCGAGAAGGAAAAAGGGAGTGAGAGGAGTGAGTTAGCTCCCTCCCTGCTAATGGCTTCAAGATGTGACTGCCGGAGCCTCGCGCTGGAAGTGCTGTGCTGCTTCATGGCCAGCTTGGCTGCTGCTCGAGGGACAGAGGGAAAACCCCAGGGTGATCCTGGGAGCTGCTGCCATAGGTGTCCAAGTACGGCACCTTCTGTGCCCTAACAGGTGGAGGTGCAAGGGGTCACCCCCACTAGCATCACTTGAGCAGCAGAATGGAATATGCTGGGAGGGCAGCAGCAGAGTGCCATAGTGCTCAGCCTCCCATCCCTTCCAAGGTTGGGCCCTGCCCCTGGGATTTCTCAAGAAAAAGTGAAAACTTTACTTTTAGGGATGAAAGGTGCCACTGTGGGCATGAGGAGGCAGAGGACAGCAGCACGTGGGGATGGGCTGAGGGCTGGGAAATGCTTAGCCTGCCCCCAAAAAGTGAAGCAAGAAGCCTTGCTTTCATCATGGGCTGCGTGGAAAAAGCTGCTTTTCTGGCAGAACTTCTGGAGCCCTTTAGGCAGAAAGCCCTGAGCTCCTCCGCTGTGCAGGGGTGTGCTTTGCTTGGAGCTCAATGAAGAGATGGAGGTGTCAGCTAAGAGGAGATGGTTGGGTTTTTGGGGTGGGGTTTTCTAATTTTTCTTCGACTTTTCAGGAAGAAAAAAGAAGCTGGTGGAAAGCTTGCAGCCAGGGAGTGCTGGCAGTGCGCCCGGGGTGCAGCAGGAGGTGGGAGAACGCTGTGCTGCGCAGGGGGAAGAAATAAAACAGGACCCGGAGAAGAAAATATGGGGAAGAGTAAAACCAAGAGAAGAAAACGTGAGGAAAGAAATGGAAAAAACAAAAAAAAAGAGGGTGCATTACTGCTCCTCACAGTGGCCAAAATGCCACAGGTGCCCGGTGTGCCAGCACCTGCCTGCCCGCGGCGCACGAAGCAAGGCGCTCAGTCACAGCTAAACCATGAAAGAAAAACCACAGCGACCTGAAGAGCTTCTGAGTCACTCCCTGGCTGGGACATTCCTCCTGATCTCACTGGCACACATGGGTGGCTTCGGAGCACGGTGGCACTCGAGGCTCCGGCACAGTGTGCTGGAGCAGGCAGCAATAGCTGTTCTCCCTCCTCCTGCTCTTTTCCTTTCTCTCTCATGGAGCGATTCCCCCAATTTCTGTCCCACTGACGCAGTGAGGAGGAGCGGGGTGGCAGCAGGGCCGACAGAGGTCACTGTTGCCGAAGAATGGCACACCACCCAAAAAGGGGAACTCTAGGGGAAAGAAGGCATTGGGCCGGGCAGGTTTTGAAAAAGGAACCTGCTGCAGTGGGGATGGGCGCGGGGAGGCAGGAGGGGAGAGCCAAGGGGAAAGCTGTGCTTTGGGGCAGGCACGTGATGGCACTGGGTGGCTCCAAGGGTTGGGGACACTGCGTTCTGCTGTGTCCTCATGCAGGGATTCAGATGTGAGTAAAGCAAAGGCAGCCAGCACACAGCTGGTCAGGGCGAGGAACATCCCTGTGGTTGCCCAAAGCCCACGCACAAGAGCTGGTGGGTGCAGCATAACCCCCCCCTGGGCACCACAGCTGTCAGCCCACAGCTCGAGACTGTGCTCCTGGTCCTGCCAGATGCGAGATGCAGTCAGAAGGGCCCCAGCTGCCCCAAGGCGCCCCTCCTCAATCATCCATCCATCTCCCCAGCACGCATCTCCACAGCACCCACCGCGCAGAACACTTGCAGTTTCAACACACAGCACTCAACATTATCTTCACCCCGTGCCGAGGGCAGAGCCCAGCCCAAGCATCACACAGCAGCACGAGAACCACAGGCGTTGCAAAGACGGTATAAAAACACTTTTGCAGCAGATAAATGGGTTCAAGTGCAACAGAAACTCCGAGCAGACAAAGCAGCCACGCTCAGCCTTTTTAGTGTCTCACAAAGCCAGCAAGCAGCACCTTACCCTGGGCGGCCGGGGGAGCGGGCACTGAGATGAGCGCGGGCTGCGCGTGGCCGGGAGCGAAGGCCGCTGTTTGTAACGGGCGCCAGAGCTGCTGAGCTGAAACTCCCCCCCGCGCTCTGCCCAGATCATTGGTCCAGGTCGCGGCGGTGGCTGCTTTCAAATTCTGTTAAAAGCTTAAAAAGGAAACAGGAAGCCTCTCGGCTTCGCGCAGCTCGCACACACGCACACCCACGCGCCCGCCTTCCTGCAGGCAGCTCCCGGCTGCGCTGCCAGCACCGCGCCGGACACGCCAACATCTGCGCTCCGCAGCTCCTTCCTCAGCTGAGCTCCCAGATCTTTGATTCTGGGGTTTGGTGCAGCAGGATCAGCAGTCGGCAGCCCTGTGCTGGTGGCCAACTGCCAGCCACAGCCTCACCTATCCCTCTGGGCGGCGACAGCACCCTCTCACAGGCACCTATCAGACTTTTGTAGACCCAGAGGAGGATGTCAGCCTCCCCCAGCCAGGAGCACATAAGGCAGAACCAAAACCAAGCAGCAGCTCCCAGAGCTTCCCCTTCCCAAGTCAGCAGTCGGCCCATCGCATTCAAGGTTTCAAAACCATCTCGAGTTTTCTGCAAAGCTTGTGCCTGGCACATTTCCCCATTGGTGGAAATTTCGCCTCTGCCCAGGTGCTCAGGCAGAGGCCAGCTGGGAGGGCATAGAGTCAGCCTGAAGCCCCGAGGTTTATTAACTCACACACCAAAGGAGGTGCCTGTGGAATAGGTGGGTTTTGGTTTTCTTTTTATACAACTAAAACCTAACGTGTCTGTCTTCAGCTGCCACTGAGGCACTGCCAGGTGCTCCCCTCTTTCCCAAACACAGATCCTCCACCTCCTCATGCACTCCAGGCAGGAACTTCCTTCAGGTCACATCTGATTTCCTGCAGCACACACTGCTCCACCCAGTGATCAGGCTCACCTTCTTCTGCAGCCCCTGCTCTGACCCAGAGCCAGCTGCAGGAGCTGGAGGACAGGCAGCCCAGGTCACTGGGAGCAGCTCAAGGGCAGCTATTCTGAGTTCTGTGCTTTGTCCATCACATCAGTTAACCTCCCTTGGAACAGAACGTTGACTTTCCTGCAATAGATGCCCAAAGTTTCCAAACAGCTTTAAAAAAAAAAATGAGGGGTAGGAAATAGGATTTGTTGTGGGCTCAACACAGCTGGAATACAACTCTTCACTTCAGGACATCTTAAAACCTCAGTTACTACACAAGGATTCTTTAGAAAAAAAAAAATTACAAACTTTAAGTGTTCTTACACCTTTTGCTTTCTCCATCATCACTCTTAGTTGTCTTCATCCATTTCTCCCCTCCCTAAGGCCCTCTGGCTCCCCTGCGTGAGGGTTTGGAGAAAAGGAGATCAAAGTCACTGCAGAAGGAGATCAAACTTCAAGTTTCAGAACACACAAGCCCAACAACTTGGCTCTGGCTGCTCTTCTAGAAGTAATCATTCAACCTCTGGCTGCTTTTATTGGAGTAACTCCACCTGTTTTATGAAAAATTAAGTGCCTTGCCTGCCCAGAACAAACAGAGAGCAGCCGCGCTCCAAGTTCAGTGCGCTGGGGAAACACATCAGGAATTGTAGCAGAGATGAAGGAAACACAAATGAATGCCCAATTATTTAAATTGTCTGCAAGTAGTTTCAGTTCTTGCCCAGACATAACGTAACGTGGTGGAGGCAGGTGTTTTCTCAGCAGCAACTGACTAATTGCAGAACAAAGGTTACAAAAGGAGAGAGATGTAAACAGTGCAGTATTGAGTGTATCGTGGACAAGTCGGAGCAAAACAGTTCAGACCCAAAGAAACCTTATGCCTATAGAAGAGATTCTACTTTAGGCTCCGTGAGAGGGGAAAAAATGGCATGAATGAGACTGAAGGATCACGTCAGTTCTTGAAAAGCACACTTGGCAAGATGCAAGCAGCACGGCAGGTGGCTTGCCTTCCCTTCCAACCCAAACCCCAAGAGGAAAAGCAAGTCTGGCATCTTCTGGGCTGCTCATCTCCTGACATCTACAGGACCTCATGGGAGCAGATTATGATGCACTGCAAGCAAGGAAGCTACAAAAACAAGGAAGTTACGTGGCTCCAGCCAAGGTCTTTTCAGAACTCAGCACAAAGTATGTACTTGAAAACAATCTTTACTTATGAAAGTAAATTTATTATTTGTTCACTTTTACACCATTTCCTATTCTCCCAACAGTTTATACTGTTGGTCACAGTTATCACAAGGGGCAAGACTGAAGTTTGTTGTTTGTGAAGTTCCAAAAGAAAGTACATTTTTACCTGGATGTTTTTGAACAGCATGGAACAACACTGGCTCTGTCGCTCAGTAACCTCATGTAAAATGAGCACAACATGGACTTCCATGCCAGAACACTACAGCACCATGGACTGGGGATTTTTAAGCAACACAGGAGCAAGCCTTAGTAATGCACGAACCAGCACATTCCACTGCTTGAACTTCAAAAGCATCTCGGAGAAGTTGGTGATTCCTGGAGAGATGACAGAAAGCAAGAAAGCAATCACATACTGGTGTAACACTTGCATAGGAATGGAACTATCAAGAGAGGAAAATGTCAGTGCTCAGGGAGAATTTCTGGACACACACCACCAATTTTGCTGTAACGCCTGTTAAAAGCAAGTCCTTGTAGCAGAATTTTAAGCCATCTCTGTCTTCAGACATCTCTGTCTCTGGATCTCCAATCAGATCACCACTGGAAATCCCAAAGGGAATGCTAACACTGTGACTAGGTACTTACAGGAAAGATTGAAGGACACTTTAAGATAGGGCTAGCCTAAAGAAAGGAATGCTTACTCCTGCCATAGGCCTCCTCATCTAGTTCTGCTGCCTGTGAGGATCTCATTTCCTGCAGGTCTGGAGAAAGCCAAGACATCCATAGCGGATAATGCTGGCTGCTCTAGTCCTGCATCAACTCTTTAACTCCTGTGCCCAGATTCAAGGCGATTAACAAAGAATAAAAATTGATGTTAATGGCTTTCAGAGAAGCACAGCCACGTAATGGAGAAGGATGCACTTAGTCCAGCATACAAGATCAAACTCAAATGCACACATCCACCCAAATTCAGCATGTTCTCCAGCCTTACCTTCCAGGCCTCCAGCTGCCAGCTGACCAGGCAATGGGACCGAGTGGTAAACAAGGAAGCATGCCAGCATGTTCTGCTGGGATTCATCTTTAAGCTGCCTGCTTAAGTAGGAACGCAGGCAGACATCTCCTCCAGCTGCAATGCATGAGACACACTGATGAAATTTAGGGAGCATGTGAAGATAGAAGAAAAGGTGAGACATAACAGTGTATCACCACAAAGAGCCTGCTGAAAAGTCTCCATCTCCCCATAGGAGGTGGGCTAAGGGTTTTCTTTTAAAACCTCCATCCTTCTGTTACATTACCCTACACCTTGTTTTCTGCTGTGCTCATCCCCCACTCTTGCTCTAGATAATTATCTTAACACAAGATTAGGGAAATTTTCCCTAACATAGCATAAAATCTTCAGAGTTAGTAAAACCTCCCACACACTACAGCCATCATACTTAATTCAGTGGATGCTTCACTCCAAACACACTACACACTAAGAAAACTCAGATGGGGCGACCAACCTTCAGTTTTGGCACCACAACCATACATGAGGAGATAACATTCATGCATATGCAAACACAGAAGTACTCAAACAGAACAAAAAAAATCAATAGTACAAACACCATATTACTAGTTTCCTGCTAACAGGGAGTACCTAACGATCATTTCTGGAGACCTTCCAATTGCAGTATCGTTAGGTGGTCAGAGAACACTCCAGCATTTGTATTTTTGGTGTTAATATTTGAGAGATTAAAGCCTCAGAAAAAGAGAAACTATTTCAAGGGCAGTAGCTGGAGCTCATTGATGGCACTCTATCAACAGAGTGCATTAACCCAGTCTTTCCCTGACAGACTTGCAGTACCACATTGAAGAAGGTCTAAGCAGTAAACTGGTAGGCAAGATATGAAAGCAGCAGTCACACATGAGCAGGACTTCAGACCTCTGTGTAAACTGCACTGCTGAAGAATTCCCTTCAATTGTAAAACCCATCCTTTTTGTCTCAGCTAAGCAATACCTGATCCTAAGGCTAAAATACATGGCAACAAGTTGTTACATGCTAACATTCATTGCCTTCTCTTCAGTTTTTCCAGTGCTTTTAAGCAAAAGTCAACCTAAATCAGCAAGATGAGGATAACACTGCATCGTGACCACAGCTGTAGGTTTAAAGTCAGTTCTCCATACCTTGAAGCCACTGATCCAGAGCTTTATCAATAGTGCACTTCATCACAGGCAGAAATTCAGAGTTCATGAAGAGTCCTCTGTTTCGATTCCTGCTCATCCTCCCCTGGTGACATCTAGAATTGAAGAATTCTAGCACCAGCTTTATCTGCCCCAGCTCAAATGTCTCAGACATTTCTCCTCTTTCCAATCTCCTCACAGCCTAGCAGAGGGAAACACAAAGCAACTGTGAGAACAGGAACTCAACAAAGACAGAAAAGGAACCTTAAAAACTCCTCTCTCCAACGGGATCCCCTTTCAGCCATCAGTTAACCTCATTGTGTGATTACAGTTTTTACAGCCTTACACTATTTTCCAATTTGCTTTTAAAATCACCACTCTTCCTATAAGCTCACCAACGTATCCCCCATTCTTTATTTCCATAGAAGTGTATGCAATGCACACTCTTATATGCCAAAGCAAAACAGTAATAAACACAGTATTTACTTCACCTGATCTATTGCTATGTACGTGGGCAGCATCTCTGGTTTTTCTTGGGTAACGCACTCATAGAGAATGGAAGAGAAAAAATCCAGCATCTCCTGTTTCTGATAAAACACACATTTTACAAAGTGCACACTGCTCCAATTTCCTTCCACTCAAGTCAACACATCCACTGATGTTCCACAGATTGATGACAGCTGGGCAGCGCCAAGCAGCTTGCTTTCCTTCTCATGATTATTAACACTGGGTGTGACAACTGTATTTTACTTGCTCCCTTAGGTGACTTTGTGCAGAGAAATACAGAGCCCTCTTCTGCAGTGACTCCACCTAAATGCTGCAGGACACTGCACAGGACTCTCAGGATTTGGTCAGTGCATTCTGCAGTGAACACAGCACAACCATTGGTGTATTTTGTAGCTTAACCAACTCTGAGGTTGCATGAACAACTGAAGAGTTAGTGCTATTTCGCACTAAAAGCATCCCTCAGAAAACTTCCAAAGGACTGAATTCTGTTCCTCACATCTTAACTGATTTCTTTTCCACCTTTCCACCTTTGACTCGTGAAAAAGGAAGCACAGTTCACATGTACACATCATACCTGGCCCATGTTCACAGTTGGTTTGCAAAAATACTCAGCAAACAATAACAGAGCAGGATCGGATGTAAAAGCAGAAATATCTTCTGGCTACAAAATAAATTAAAATACACTCTTAAAACAAGCTTTTTGGTTTCATCACACAAATGAAATAGTGATTTATACCCGTCTTTTCCTTCCCCAGTACACAAGTGAGAACACTGCAACCCATGAGAAGCACGTCATGGGCAGGATCTGTCTGAGATGTCTGTGTCAAACACACAGCTATTGCAGCTATTGGCCTAAGTTCCTTGCATGCCTTAGGAAAGCCACCAGACTCCTTCTCCCTCAAGCAAAACGAGTGACTTCAGTACCCATAACCTGGTGGCAGTGCTACCTACTGGAAATAACACAGCCCAAACGTGCTGTGCTTCCCTTTGTCATTCCAGAGGTGGCACTCTCAGTTCCTCACAGCTTGTCCTTGGACACTCCTGTTACGTGACATCACTTTACAGC